ACCGGCACTGGCCACTGGCAACGGCGCTCATACGGGGGCAGGGCAGGTGGACGGCCTGGCGGCAATTTCATGATTTCTCCTTTTCCTGGAGCTCAAGGCAGCCCCCTTGGAGAGGCTCCCTGGCTGTTTCCTTCTAAGCCTGGGGACAACCTGCAGTCTTCCGAGGGCAAAGTTGCCCCCTGGGGTCCTGGCTTGTCCTCCTCCTCCGTTCTCCGTGCCCTGCTGCTGGCCTCTCCTGCCCTGCCCACTGTGGCGCTGCAGACTTGCCGGCTCTTCTAACCTGCTCAGCTGTTTGATGGCCACGTCGGGGAATCCTGAGCCAAATACAGACGTGGGAAGGGAGAGGGGCGCAGCCTCCCGTGATTCTGCCAGCCTAGCCCTGGCCGCCGCTCTCGTGAGCTCCTGGCTGCACAGAGTTCCTCCCCTTGCAGCCGCTGGCCCCAGCTCGACTCTGCTCCCGCCTCACCACGCAGCGTCCAGGCTCTGTGAGAAATGGGCTCTTTTCTGGCTGAGCCCTGGCATGCCCTCTTCCTCCAGGTCCATGCTGCCTTCTTTGCAGCCCTTGACTGCCGTCCTGCTTGGGCGATGCCTGGAACTCGCTGGCTGCGCAACGCAGCCCCTGCCCTGTGCCCGCGCCTTGCCTGCTGCTCCAGCTCCTGCTGGCTCGGCCTCGTAGCGCTGCCAGGGACAGCCAACATGCAACATCCTGCTGGGCCACACACTGCTGCGCTGAGGCTGCACCACATCCATGCCCAGTCCAGCTACCCAGCATCTCATCCACTTGGGGCCTTGGGATCCATAAAGCCAGGGAGGACTAAATTCTGCTTCAAGCCATTGGCCCTGGAATTAAGAGACCAAGGAAGAAGTTTGGGGCCTGGACACCACAAGTTTCCTTCATTTGCAGATCCAAGAGCCAAGGACTGAGAATGGGTCATGTTCCCTTTCCAAAGGGAACATTGCCAATTCTTGGGTCCCCTCCAGCCCAGAACTCCTGGGGCCACAGCCTTGGCCGTGAACCCTACAGACTACAGTGTGGACGGTGCTCCTGAGCTGTGTGGTGACATGGAGGCTCTGGGAAGCCCTGCCAGGCCACACTGCAGGGCGGGCTGGGGCTGTGCGACTCCAAGTCCTGCTCACGCTGCTGGTGCACTTTGAAGGGTCCCCCACTCCAACCAGAAATGCAGTGATTGCGCTGAGGACCACAGGGACCTTTCTCATCTTGCCTTTACCTCAAGAGCAAGGTAGCACAGCCGGGCCCAGCTCCTAGACACTCCTCCTAAAGGCCCGAGCCTTAGGGAGTCACTCAACCTGTTGGGACCCTGACTCGCTCTGCACCAGGCCAACGTTTCCCCACAGTGAAATGGGGACGCGAGTGTTTCCTGTCACCGTCTGCCTGGTGCGGTGGACGGGTGCGGAGAGCTGCGTGCCGAGTGTGGAGGCCCCAGGGAGAGGTTCTGAGAGCCACTGGCTCTTGCTGAAGCCAGGGCCATCCTCTGCCTCTGCACAGCGCTCGCTGGCTCAGGGCACAGGAAGTGTCCTGGGAAGGAAGTTCTTCCTTTCTTCCTGCCGTTGGGACTGGTGAAGTGAGAGGCTGGGTCGGGGCAGTGGCTGTCCTTGTGCGGCCTTTGCCGTTGTGCGGCGCCTTTCCGCGCGGCATGTCTGTTCCCCTAGAGGCGCGTGCGGCTCAGGGCCACTGCCGTCACACTGCCACTGGAGAGAGAGCAGAGGCTCTGAGAGTCGGGGACTGGAGTGCACACACAGGGCTTGCAGCCGTCTGTGGAGAGCTGGTGCCTCTTTGCCTGTGCCCTTGATGCTTTCATCAGGAACTGCAAACCTGCCTGGGGCACAGGCGCAGCTGGCAGCCTGGAACTGGGGCGTATACTGTAGATTGTCCGCTGTAGCTACACACCTGGGTCTTCCTGCCACTGTTGGCCCTGAGCCCTCTGGTTACTGCATCTGTCTCCTCTTTCCATCTTCCCCAAGAAGCCTGGGTGCTATCAGATATTTAGCCTCCAGACAATTCTCTAAAGCCCAGGAATCCAGGGCTGGAAGACTGGCCAGGGATTTGGGCCAGGGAATAATTGTAGACAAATCATTTCTCCACTCAGCCTCAGTTTTCTCATCTGTAAAATGGAGGAGTCAGATTCAATTATTTTCTTTATTGCTCTTTCAAAATTTTATATTCAGGCCGGGCGTGGTGGCTCACGCCTGTAATCCTAGCACTCTGAGAGGCCAAGGCGGGTGGATTGCTCGAGGTCAGGAGTTCGAAACCAGCCTAAGCAAGAGCGAGATCCCATCTCTACTATAAGTAGAAAGAAAGTAATTGGCCAACTAACATATATAGAAAAAAATTAGCCAGGCATGGTGGCACGTGCCTGTAGTCCCAGCTACTCAGGAGGCTGAGGCAGGAGGATTGCTTGAGCCCAGGAGTTTGAGGTTGCTGTGAGTTAGGCTGACGTCATGGCACTCACTCTAGCTTGGGCAACAAAGTGAGATTCTGTCTCAAAAAAAAAATTATATTAATTGCATTAATTAATAATCTATGGTTTATAGATTATATATAATCTACAATAAATAATCTATTCAATTAATGAAAATCCAAGATAAAAGTCTCCCATGATCTATCCTGAAATGACATCAATATTCGTGTTGGTTTCTAACACTTTTTACTTCTTGTCCAAGATGCATTATTTTTAAAGTCATATCATAAATAGGAATTTATATTCCACATTTTCAGTTAACATGACACCAAACTTTGTTTTTCTTTTTCCTTCTCCTGCCTCCAACCTCTTTTTCCCACTCTTGTCCACTCAGGTAGCCAGTGTCAGCAGCTTAGTTAGCACTCACACAGAAACACAGTGCACATGGGGAGTTTGTGCTGGGGAGAACGGTCATTGTTCACTTTATAAAACTGTGACCATCCAGACTTAGAGAGAGGGCACTAACTGATTCTTTGTAATAGGTGCACAATTCCATGGTGTGGATGAAAGTCTCACAACTAATTCAACCAGTCCCAGAGTGACAGGGACGCAGGTTGTCTCCACTTGTCCCTCCCATACCTCTATAAATAGGCACTTGCATTTCTGCAAGTATAAAATCCCAGAGATGGGATTGCTGGATCAAAAGACATGTGTTCTTTTCAATTCCCCCAAATGACTGTAAAGATTCACATCTACGCAGGTGGCAGATGAGGGCTCCCTCCCCTCACATCCTTACCAGCACTTGTAGTTAGTATCTTTTTCATGTTTACCAGCTGATGGATGAGACCTGCATCGCAGCATTTCTTTAATTTGCATTTTACTGCCTGCCAGTAAGACAGAGCATCTTCCCTGATGCTCTTTGCGTTTTCTCTTCTGTCAACTGCTGTTCATGTCTGTAGCCTGTTTTTCCTGCTGGGTTTGTCTTTGCATCATGAATTTGTTAGAGCGCCATGTAGGGTATCAACTTGCCTTCTGGCATTCGTGTTGCAAATATATTTTCCCAGCTTCTCCTTTGTCTTTTGACTTATGAGGGTATCTTTTTCCATACAAGATGTTTTCATTTTATGTAGCCAGACAGGTTTATCTTTCTAATGGCTTTTCAGTTTCTTGTTTTATTTTAAAAATCTCCCCAACATAAGCTATATTCCTAAATTTCCTTCTGAATTTTTCCTTCTTTTATTTTATTTAAACATATAATTGCTCTAGAATTAATTTTTGTTAAGTTAAGATAGATTCCAGTGTTATTTTCTTTTGTGGGGATAGCCAAACTCGCCATTTCTGGCCCCAGAGTCTGTGGGCCCTGGGCGGTGGCTGAGGCGTCAGGAGAGTGGCATAGACTCCCCACCCCCAGCCAGAGAGCTGTTCTGCTTTTGTTGTTTTACAAAATAGGCTTCCAGGAAAGATTTGGTTTGGACAAAGTGTCCTGAAGCTAAAGGAATTTTGAAATTTTCTTTCAGATGATCTCGGGGGCCCTTCTAGGTCTGACAGTCTCTGCCTGGGCAATGCGCAGGACGGTGACCGCTTATTAAGGAAAAGAAGGCAGCGGGTTGGCAGAACTTTATCCAAAAGCGATTTCAGTATTAAATCCCAGGCTGACTCAGAGTGGATATTAGAATCACAACATTTTAGAGGTGGAAGGGACCTTGGAAATCCACTAGTCTCATGTCTCTCAATCCTGGCTGCCTTGAGAATCACCTGGGAGCTTTTTTAAAGGTCCTGGTGCCCTGGACTCATGCCAGACCATGTGCATCAGAGGGTGGGGGATGAAAGCCCAGGCTACAGTATTTTTAAAAATCTCCTGGTGATTCCAATATGCAGCTGGGGTTGAGAACCACTTCTCTACTTCAACTCTCTTATTTCTTCAACTCCCTTCTCCTTTCCTCAAAATGTTCTCCTTTCCACAAATATTCCATTAGTGAATAACTTGAGGCCCAGAAGACATGAGCTGCATGTGACATAGCTGCCTGACGAGCTGTGGGTTGGGACTAGAGCCCAGATCACCGCTTCCTGGGCCTTTTCATCTCCATCATACAGCCCCATGGACACCACACCTGGGATTTCCAGCTGTGCACGCCACGGTCCCTAAGTCCACTGCATGCATTTCCAGGCATCCTGGGTGGATGGACCCGGTTCTGCTTTGTAGGACCTTAGAAGGGCATAGGGTCACATGGAACCGACTGTGAGAAAAGACAGAGCAGGACAAATGGTAAATCCACATGTCAGAGCCTCCTGCCAGGACAGGGCTGCAGAAGTGGGAAGACTGAGCTGGCCAGGGAGGGCAGCGCAGGAGGGCCTGCGAACTGGGCCTAAGGGGCGACGCAGAAGGACTGGTGGACAGAGCCAGTGCTGTGCTCGCTTGCTCGCTCCTGGGCCAGCATTTGGCTGCCTGCCCCCCCCCCCCGTTACACAGGGGCTCAGGAGGCAGGGCAGGGGGCAGTGAGGTTCAGGACAGAACTGCTTTTGTCTCAGCGGAGCAGGGCCCTGCCTGGCTCTGACCTTCTCCCTGTGCTGTGCCCGCAGGAATGAGACCGTGCTGCACCAGTTCTGCTGCCCAGCCGTGGACGCCGAGCAGAAGTGCTCCGACCTGGCCTCCCCAAGGTGGGAACTGTGCCCCTCCCTTCCACGCCCCTCCCTGCTCTGAGAGCAGAGCACACCCGCCCCCCTGCTGGGTGGCCTCCTGCTCTCCAGGCTCCTGTGCTACTGTCTGCTCCTGCCCCTTCCTCAGACCTTGCTCTCTTCCCTGCCTCTGGACCCCAGATGAGCTTTCCCAGCTTTTAAGGCCCTCACCCCTGTGGTTCAGATCCCAAACCTGTGATCCTTCCTTCTACATGGCCCATGTAAAGTGCCGTGTTTGAAAGCAGCATGGGAAATTCGTTTGCTTATATCTATAATGTGTATGTCTCTCACATGGGGTGCCGCACTCGGTGGGTGCCTGGCCTTCCTCTATCCCCAGTAGAGGAACATCTTTCAGTATCCCCAGGATTGACATTTCCCTGTCACTCTCCCTGCTCCCATAAAGGGGACGAGGTGACCGACTCGCCATGAGGCCCTCCCAGGGCTGGGGGTCCTGTGCTGAGCCTGTCCCTCTGTTTCTCCCATCATCCATCCTCCCTCTTCCTCCCGCCTCCTGTCCTGATGGTCCCTCCACACTCATCCCGTCTCTGCCCTTGTGTTTCTCATGCGCCGTCACCCTGCCCCACCCGCCCCACCATGATCTGGGGGTGCTGTCACTCTCACGCTGTTCGCCTCTCCTTTCCACTGCATTTTCTGTCTCTGTTCTGCACATTTCTCTCTTCCTGACAAGTTCTTTACTTTGCTCGGACTCTGGCCTAAAACCTGCCCCATCTCCGTTTCCTGCTGTGGGAATGGCGTCTAGTAAGTTATGTCACTCCCCTGGCCTCAGTTTCCCTGTCTGTGTAATGAAGGGCTTGGTCTAGCTACACAGCAGCACTTGCAGATGGTCTCGCTGAGCCTCTGAGCTGCACAGTGAGCTCAGACCAGGCAGGTTTTCTTTTCCCTGGCGTGTGTGAGGGTAGAGACTGGGGACTGGGCCACAGTCGCATAGCGGCACCAGCACCTGCATGCGAGCTCGGGGCATGTGACTCCTGTGTGCCCCGGTGTCAGGCTCAAGACTCAATGATCCTATGACCTTTCCCCCTTTCGTCCTTAGAAGATAACTAGACAGTAACCAGAAGTGGTAACTACTGACCTTGGGGTATAGAAAGCCACCCCTGAATGGTGTCACTGCTCATTTCCCTTACAGGGAAGGCAGCAGAGGTCAGAGAATGAGGCAGGACCCTGAGGAGGGACTGGGAGGTGGGCCCGGGAGAGGCCCTCAATCCAGGCTGGGGTGGTGGGAGCTCCCTCAGGCCGACCAGGTTGAAGGCAGGAGGCAAAAGGGAAGGACCGAGTGCTGAGCTGATGCTCTGGGTGTTCTCCGCGCCGCGTTTGTGAACATAACAGCAGATCCACTGGGACCCTGGAGAAGTTCCCCATCTAGTGGGGCATTAGGATACCCTCAAAAGGAAAACAGCTCATGGGAAGGTGAGAAAGAGGAAGGGAAATGGGAGAATGAAGCAGTGGGAGAGGAAAGGAGAGAGGCCAGAGTGGAGATCTGGAAGGGGTGTTGTGGGGCAACCCTGAGGGCCCTGTCTCGTCTCCTTCCTGAAAACATCCCTGCTTGGCAGGAAGGAGAAGGAAGAAAAGCTGCCTAGCCTGCCCCACCCCATCCCTCCAACTCAGTCCAAGGAACACTTGGTCACTCACATGCACGTGCCCGGCTTCAGCGAGGATGGAGAAGCCCAGGCCTGGCAGGGCCCGCAGCAGAGGCTGCCCTCGGGGTAGGCACTCTCACCAACACCCCGCACACCCCACAGGCTCCAGTGGGAAGGGATGGAGAGAGGCAGCCCCAGCAGCACCCAGCAGGGAGACAGATGTGGAGCAAGGGTCCCAGGGCACAGGGTTACCTCCCAAGGTTTCGGGTGGATGGTGGGAAACCTACCATCTCGGTTTCCAAGAGGGTTGCTGTTTGCTTTCTTCTTGAAGGTGCAGGTGCTGCACTCAGGGAATGGAGGTGCTCTGGGGAGGGAGGGTGGGAGGCAGGAGGTATTCTTGAATGGTGGTTCATGGAAGGCCCCGAACACATGCCTGCTGCAGCCCTCCCCTGGGAGAGAGGGAGACCTGCCCCCAAGATGGTCCAGGGCTTTGCTCTTGGCTTTTCTCGGGAAGTCATCCTCCGATAAGTCTTCCCCAATCAGACTCGACATCCCTGCTGCCAGCCCTACCAATGGCCCCTTCTTAATACTCGTCCCTTCCCCTGGCCCAGGTGTCTCACCTCCAGAGAGCATAGCCCAGACTTTCCAGAGAGTTCCTCTAGTAGAATGTGTCCCTGTTGGAGAGGTGGTGGAGGCTGGCACAAGGCATGTCGGTCCCCAAGCCTTCAGGCCATCCTGAGGAGATCCTGGCCTGGTCTGTGGAGCTCTGAGACAAGCCAGGCTCCTGCCCGCTGGTCAGTGTGGTTTCCCAGCACCCCAGCCAGCTCCTCTCTACAGGAGACCCCAGCAAGGAACCCAAAACCCATCAGCTCTCAGGGCCTTTGGCCTGTGGGCTCAGCCCGCCTCAGGAGCTCCCTCCACTTCTTCCTCTGCAATCCGGCCGAGGCCAAGGTCAGCATCTCGTCTGTCCCCTCCCTGCCCAGCTGCAAGCCTCGGACTGGGAGGTGCCTCTGCTGGAGGCTGTGGTGGCCGCACATCTCTCTGGTCAGATGCAGAGATGCTGCTCAGCCTGAGGCCACTCTCAGCCCAGAGGAAACTTTGCTCCCTCCGAGCCTGGGCCAGGGTCCAGCCACAGCCCACAGCCCCTTGTGGAAGAGTAGTTGGGGCTGGTGTCAGGAGAAACTGTCGTGGGCCCGGAGCCTGCCAGGGAGTGCTGCTTCCACGAGTGAAGACCCGAAACTGAGCAAGTCTGGAAGCCTGGGTGTCATGGAGGGGAGGTAGAGGGGTGGCATCTGCAAGCTGGGGTGCAGTGGGGCAGCTATGGGGCAGGCAAAGCTCTGTGAGGCTGGAGGCCAGGTAGAGGTAGGGGTTCCCCTGTGCCCTGGCTCCCCAGTCTTCCCTAGGCAGAAAACCTGTGCCTGCCAGGTGATGGCCTCAGGCAGAAGCTGGGGTGGTGCCCCTGCCCACCAGCCAGCCAGCCTGGCAACTGGGAGTCAGCTCTCTTTTCCCAGGGGCAGGGGAGCTGGTCATGGCCCTTTCCCCACATCCTCTCTGCTGTAGCTAATGGCAGGGCTTTATTCTGGAGAACTGAATAGGCAGTAATTGCAGCCCTACTTTTGGTCCCATGGCTCCCCTCCCCTTCAGGCTCTCTGTGACATTCTGAACAATGGGGGAAGCTGGCCAGCCTCCTCCCAGCATCCAGCAAAATTGCAGCCTTTTTGTCTCCCTGGCTGGTAATGGGGTAGAGAGGAGGAAGAGGAGGAAGATTGCCTTCTATTAGAGTCATGGGAGGGGGCGGTAGTGGGGGCGGGGCGCAGAGACAGGGCTGACACGTGGGAAGCAGGGGTCTGGGAGCCTGTGCCTCTGGGCTCAGCCCGCTGAGCCGGGCCACTCGGTCCTTGCTCTTCACTGCTCACGCTCCCCACCCTCAGTCCAGGACGGAAGAGACGCTCACTGAACATTCCAGGGACGCTGTGCTGAGCACGCTCAGTATTTTATCTCACTTAATTCGGTGAGATAGATGTTCTCATTTACCGATAGGCAATTGGGATGGCGAGTAGTTAGGCATCTTGCGGGGGCCACTGCTAGTCAGTTCTGGAGCTGAGAGGGGTCGCTGGTCCGACTCCAAAACGCAGCCTCTTCCGGTGGGGCTGCAGCCAGGATTTTCTGGGGCTTTTTAATGGCTCAAGAGAAGTCTTTTCAGCTGTTTCATTTGATCTTAAATAGCATCTGTTTACTCTCATTATTTGTTAAACGTTCTGGTTGTTGGAAATGTGGAAAATACAGACTATAAAGAATAAAATAAAAATTGAATCCCATGATATAGAATTAACTGCTGCTAATATTTTAGTGTGTAGCCTTCTAGTGTTTTGTTTTTCTATGCACTGAGTGTTACATTCCTCCCCCACCAAAAAAAAAAAAGATTTTGCAGCTTGCATTTCTGCTAAGGGTACTGTGCCCCTTTAGAGAGCCTCCTGCCCGAACCAGGCCCTCCCAGAGTGGGTGGGAGGCCGAGCGCCTGCGTTCTTCGCCCTAAGCAGAGGCCATTTGCAGCACGCCGCCCCGAGGAAGGGGTGCCCTGCCAGGAAGGCTGTCAGAGAGAGCTCCACAGGGCACAGCCAGAGTCTGTCCGCCTCTGCTCGCCACCCCCACTGGCTGAGATGGGCCTGAAGCAGGATCAATGGACTAGCCAGTGTTTAGTCAGCGATTATGGAGCAATTAAATTCTCAATCGATACAGTTTAGTCTTCAAACAGCTGGGCTGGGACGCCTATGCATGTGCCTGCTCCATTAGTCATCGGAGGCTGCTGGGAAGCTTCCCCTCCCACACGTGGCTCAGGGCGGCTGAGTGTGCCCATGGGGCTGTACAGCTGCATCCTCTCTTCCCTGGAGAAGCACAGGAAAGCCCTGGGCTTCCCCCAGACTCGCCTCGCCCAGCCTGCTCGCCGCTCGGGAGCCCTGCAGGCTGCAGGAGGGCAGTGGACGGCAGCAGTGGTGGCAGCATCTTTCCCACTGGCAGCCAGGGTGAGGTCCCAGGCTTTGGAGGTTCTTGGGGTCTGCTGTGGGTCAGAGCAGCACCTGCACAGAGGACAGCAGGTGGGTGGGGGCCTGCTCCTCTGGTGTGGGCTTTGCGAGCAGGTATGCACGGGGTCTGAGGGTCTCTGTGTATACAGCAGACTCCAGCTGGGCTGGGCTCCGTGCCTGAGGGCAGCCACCAGGAAGATGGCAGGAGAATTGGTCCTGGAGCTAAAGGAATCTGTGCCCTGACCTGTGTGACCTGTCACTTACCTCTCCGTGCTTTTTGCCCCAGCTGTGCCTTTCTCGCCAGACTCAGGAGGCACAAAAACCACAGTAGATGTCAAAGTACTGTGACACTTTACAGGGT